GTTTTTCTATCTATTACTGGCAAACTTTAACAAATTCCTTGTTTTCGCTGGCTCTTAGAACCATGATCTTGGGGCTATGAAAGCAAAACTAAACTACAATAGCTCGTTCACATAGGGAAAGGATCTGATTTTTAATATCATTTGCAGTATAAATGGCCTCACACTGTTTATACTGCAAAGCACCATTTATAGTAGAGTTTGAGTCAAATTCCAGGTAACTGGAAACACTTTTCTTAAATTTAAAAGAGCACGCTCTAGTTAATGTTTTGATATTTATTTATTCAGTATTAATGCTGTTTAGTAAGCACATGCAATTGCGTCAAGCACAGCATTTATTAGAAATATATTGTAAAATTATGTATGGCGTCATCTGGATTTTGACTCTGAAAACTTCCTCAGGACTGTAACCTAAACCATAGAATTCAGCCCTTGATTATTTTCTATTAACAGACTCTGAAAACTTCTCCACAGCAATTAATGGCAGTGCCAACCTAAAGACCGAACAAGAATTATGTGTTATTTCTTGTTTGATTTCACCCTAAGACTCAAGTGAGACCAAAAGGTCACTTTTCTGATTTAGCATTTTCTTAATTTCTTCGATTCAGGATATTTTATTAGATTTTGGATGAGACAATATCTCTTACCACCAAGGTTCTCAGAAAATGTGTTACCACCTCAAATCTGGATTTCAGCACTACATAAGGATGAATGAAGGGCATTATCCCTGGACTGAGGGCTGGGTCCACTTTGTCACCTTGACATTCTTAATTTTTGTCACAGTCTTTGGCACAATAATAATTTTTTTTTTTTTTTGAGACAGAGTCTCATTATGTTGCCCTGGGTAGAGGGCTGTGGCGTCACAGCTCACAGTAACTTCAAACTCCTGGGCTTAAGCGATTCTCTTGCCTCAGCCTCCCCAGTAGCTGTGACTGCAGGCGCCCGCCACAACACCCGCCTATTTTTTAGGGGTCTCGATCTGGCTCAGGCTGGTCTCGAACCTGTGAGCTCAGGCAATCCACCCCTTTCGGCCTCCCAGAGTACTAGGATTACAGGCGTGAGCTACCGCGCCGGACTAAATAATTTTTTTTTCATAAAAACAAGTAGTATTTAGAGCCAAATATTTTCTATAATTTAGAAAATTAATAATTTTTCCAGTAATTAGACTTTAGGTTGGCCTTCTGAATTAATGAGGCCTGTTTCCCTGGGAATTTGAGATATCTTGCACTGTGGGTAGGGCTGTATTTCAAAATTAAATGATTAAATATAATGGTTTTTATTTTTATCAAGGAAGCTGGGTTAGGGCTAGTTGAATTTAAAGAACGCTGCAGTTTATTGCATTGTCTCTAAATTTCATTCAGTAATATTAACATTTCACTATATAGAGGCAATCAAGATTAGAAGTCTTTAAAAAATATATGACCCATATAGACTGGAATGAAAACCTATCTAATTCCAAAGCGGTACTGAGCTGTGATGGGCCAGAACCATCCATTTAAATCCCCGAGTTACAAGGAAAATTAGCCAGAATCCATTTGCAAAAGTTTATTCTGATTTTATCAGGCATTCCTCACACCTGTTCGGTTAAAATTACTAGGTTTCCTTTTTAAAAGAGCGAGAAAGAAGACTAGGATCAACATGAGAGCAGAACTGTTTACTCCAGAGCCATCTGCAAATAACACTACACAATTTTCTCGTTCTACTAAATGTATCGGCAAACCGGCTTTTCTGCGATTGCTGGGCGACATTTTCCCCAGCAAGGAGTTTCACACTTTCCAAGATGTGAATGGATGTTAAACGATGCGGCTAAAGCCCGGCGGCGGCTCTTTATTGTCAAATTAAACAGCGGTGGGAACAAGCGTATTAGGCTGCTGCCCTCGGGCCAGACGCCTGTTAGGCCCGCTCGCCCGCAGGAAGCGGCCCCGCCAGCGGCGCGCCCCGAGCTTCCGCCCCGCGTCCGCCCCAGGATCCCCCGGCCCGCCTCTGCGCCGGGGCGCGGAAACCCCGTAGGAGCAGGGCGGGCGCGGACGCGGCGTGCAGCCACCGCCGCAGCAATGTTCCTCCGCCGCACGGCAAAGAGTCCCAGACTTCCTCCGGATCCTAGGACTTCCAGAGACCCCGTAATAACTGGAAATTACCAAACTTGGATTCTTCTATCGCCTTGCTGAGGATTTTACCTCAGGTGACGATCTCAGGATCATAATTTTGTGGCTAACCGAAGAGCGATGGGAAAATTCCTCCGCAAGAAACGGGTTCCGGCCACGAGCCTATAAAAAACCGGTGGCGCGGACCTGCTGTCTTTTCAGTCGGGCGCTGAGTGGTTTTTCGGATCATGTCTGGTGGCTCTGCGGATTATAACAGGTATGGCGGTCTTTCGGTGCTGGTGTTCTGTAGCTAAGGTCATGTGGCGCCGGAGGGGAAATTGTAATGGATACTTTGGAGGCGAGAAGGTCCAGGTTCATGGACGTTTCCTTGGGGTACAGTTCCCCCGTGTCCTTCGAGAAGCTTCCATGGTGGGTAAGGCCCCAGATTGTGTGGAGACAGGACTTGGGTGCGAAAACACAGTGGCTAAGGAGTGTCATTTCTCCCAAAGGCGTAGTGAACTGTCAGCCTCTTCCTGGTGTGGAACACGGCAAACGTTTAGGAAAAAGCCGTGGCGCAGTCTGCGTTCGGGAAGGGTAACGGGGTGCCGAAGCTTTATTTTGGGTCAACAGCACGAGTTGGGGTGTCAAGCTTTACCGGCGGGGGGATGGGTGGCGGCGGCGCCCGCCCGCCGCGGGGCGAAGGCAGTGGCGACGGGACGGAGACCGGGCTCCCGGCGAACCGTTGGCACCGCCGGCGCCGGGCCTCCGGGCCGCGTCAATCACTCGGCTTGCGCAGTGTTAGGGGCGGAGTCGGCGCGTGCGGCTCTCGCGAGACTCCGCCGCCGAGACGGGCGCGCCGGGCCCTGCGGCCTGGGGGTCTCCTGGGCCTCCGCCTTCAGGGAAGGCGAGCGGCGTGTTCTTTATTCTGCGCAATTGTTTCTGTTCTTTGGGAGCGTACTCGCAGGGAGCGGGGCCCTTTAAACTGCGGTTAGGGCGGTTCGGTAAGGGGGTCGTGGTCTAACTGCGGTATTTTTGTCGGCAGAGAACATGGCGGCCCAGAGGGAATGGACCCCGATGGTGTCATCGAGGTAAGAGACGGGTGTGGATTTGGAAGCTCTGGAAAGGTGAGTTTGTTCGCCTTATTTATTCCTTTGTTTTTCGTTTTTAAAACACAGAGCAACTGGAATGAGATTGTTGATAACTTTGATGATATGAATTTAAAGGAGTCTCTTCTTCGGGGCATCTATGCTTACGGTTTTGAGAAGCCTTCCGCTATTCAGCAGAGAGCTATTATTCCTTGTATTAAAGGTAAATTCTGACGTTTTTAAAAACGAATTCGTTGTTGTACGTAGACGTGGACCATAAAAGGGATAGTGACCTTTGGGGGACTAGCACCTGTTTGTATTCCTTAAAGTGAGATGATGGCAATCATCTTTCGGGACTGACCTGAAATGAAGAGATACTCATTGCTGATCACTTTATTATTTTGGGCATAATTCATGTTCCAAATGGAATACATGGTGTAAAGTAGAAGTGACGATTTGATGTGGGATCGGTAAATATGTATCCTACTTTTTTTAGGGTATGATGTGATTGCTCAAGCTCAGTCAGGTACTGGCAAGACAGCCACATTTGCTATTTCCATCCTGCAACAGTTGGAGATTGAGTTCAAGGAGACCCAAGCACTAGTATTGGCCCCCACCAGAGAACTGGCTCAACAGGTATTGATAGTGTAGTTCAAAAAAACTGCTTGCGTGTTGCATAGGTTTCAGGTTTCACAACTGTGAAGAATTTAAAAAGTGTAGTATAAATGGTCCTGTCAGAGCCCTCCTTTTAATTGTCCATGCATGCAGGGAGTTTTTGTTAAAAGTTAAACAGGAACTGGGTGCTCAGGAATGGTTTGTAGGGTAGTATACCAAAAGAAAGAGAAATCTGAAGCTTTGTGTTCAAGGTGTACTAGATTTATTCCCATTTTTTAAGTTTAAATGCAGTTGTGCAACATGAAAACTGCAGTGACATGTTAACATTTTGACTGTCTCAGTAGTTTGTGATGCATTTGTTGCATGCTACGTTTTCAAAGCTTACTGCTGTATTGGCTTTGAATAAATTCTTCCCAATAAAGCTGGTTTTATTAAGGTCAAAACTACATAAGGCACAGTACCCTGTGAGGAAAAATCAGCATCTGCCCCAGCTGTAATTGTAGAACTCAAGTTTTGATAATTTACACTCCTTAGTGAGGGATAACGTAGGAAATACTAGTCCTTTAATAGCGTTACTGATAATGTGGGGTAACAGCATTCCAAGTTTGACAAGGCACAAGAAAGATACTAAGGGAATTTTATTTTGAAGTAGCTCTTAAGTCCTACATTTTTAAGCTTGGAAGTAGTTTTGTGCTATGCATGCATAAAAGCTGTTGGCAGACCAGATACTTGCTGTTATGCTCTGGAAGTTAGTCATAGAGCTTGTAATTATATGTGATGATAATTAAGCTTTCTGTTTTTTAGATCCAAAAGGTAATTCTGGCACTTGGAGACTATATGGGAGCAACTTGTCATGCTTGCATTGGTGGAACAAATGTTCGAAATGAAATGCAAAAACTTCAGGCTGAAGCACCACATATTGTAGTTGGTACACCAGGGAGAGTGTTTGATATGTTAAACAGAAGGTACCTCTGTAAGTACTGTCTTTTTTTTTTAAGAGTAGAATGTTTTTACTGTGTTACATAGTTAAGTTAAATAGTATTTTTAGACAATAGTATGACTTTGTTCTTAACAGCTCCAAAATGGATCAAAATGTTTGTTTTGGATGAAGCAGATGAAATGTTGAGCCGAGGGTTTAAGGATCAAATCTATGAGATTTTCCAAAAATTAAATACAAGTATTCAGGTAAGTCTGTCCCCTTAAGTGGAAGTTTGGTTTAATGCAGGTCCTGTTACAATATAACTGAGGTGTTAATATTGTCGTTCCCCCTGCTTAAAGGAATTGATACATAACTATCTCTGTCTAACTCCATTCCATAGTAAGACAGAGACGCTTGGTCTCAAACATTTATCCTTTGGGAATACTGTGAAAAATTGTGCCACAACATAACATTGTCAAAGGTTGTGTTGCTTAGTCTCTCAAAAATATTTTTTTTCTTTAGGCAGCTCTGTGACAAGTTGTGCTACATAAAACATAATCATTGTCTTGTTTTTAAGGTTGTGTTGCTTTCTGCCACAATGCCAACTGATGTGTTGGAAGTGACCAAAAAATTCATGAGAGATCCAATTCGAATTCTGGTGAAAAAGGAAGAACTGACCCTTGAAGGAATCAAACAGTTTTATATTAATGTTGAAAGAGAGGTAATCTAATTCTTTTTAAACATAAGTCTTGCCATATTTTTACCTTCTTGTATAAGCACTGTGCTAAAATTGCAGAAACTGGGACTATGTCTTGGTTTTTGTAATAATGCTAGCAGAGTACACACAGGAAGAAGAGTAACTGCACTAGATTTACACAGACTGGGGTGGACCTCTTTCTTAATGTCCAGTGTCCTTTGTCTTAAGATTTGGTGCAATATGTCATTTTAAGACAGTCATAACGTGGATTTCTAACAAATGAAAGTTGGAAACTAAATATTAACTTTCTCTTTGAAATACTGCAGGAATGGAAGTTGGATACACTTTGTGACTTGTATGAGACACTGACCATTACGCAGGCTGTTATTTTTCTCAATACAAGGCGCAAGGTGGACTGGCTTACTGAGAAAATGCATGCCAGGGATTTCACAGTGTCTGCTCTGGTAAGAGGTTCTAACTTTTCAATATATCTGTGTTTCCAGTAAAGCAGGATTCAGACTACAATATAGCTGTAAAGTGCTGTGTTGTTGTTCCCCCTGCTCAAAATAAAGTGTTTCTTAACTATACCTGTCTGCTATATTCCTGTAGCAGCCAGGGACGCTTGGTCTCAAACATGCTGATAAAATTAAATATTGATCTGACTGGTGATTCTTGAATTAAGGTTTTTTTACTTTGCAGCATGGTGACATGGACCAGAAGGAAAGAGATGTCATCATGAGGGAGTTCCGGTCAGGGTCAAGCCGTGTTCTGATCACTACTGACTTGTTGGTAAGTAGGTCTCTTACTGTTCTTTAAATTTACCAAAAGTTAATTTGGTGAGGGAAGGTTGTATTAATAACCTTTACCAAGCTGGGCTGTTTGGGAGAGTAAACACGACCACACTCCACAGTGGGCTATATCACTTAGTATAGTTCACTACTATTTTGTGGCCTACATTAATTACATAGGCATACAGTTGGTGAGAGTTTTTAACATACACCATTGTATTTTCAGGCTCGTGGGATTGATGTGCAACAAGTGTCTTTGGTTATAAACTATGACCTACCTACCAATCGTGAAAACTATATTCACAGGTGAGAAGATGGCATCTTGACTGTGTACTGGAAAAACATTAATGTGTTGCTTTTCCACTGATTTGTATATAAGGTGTAATGTCACGGGAATAGATTCAGTAAAAGGACAGTAATTTAGATGATAATAAAGTTGTACTTGGGAAGACTGGTCAGAACAAAGTGGGAAAACTTAAAACGTTGCTCTGATTGTGGACATAATGACAGATCAGGTTGCTTTATATTGATATTTGTTGGCTTTAGCTCTGAGATTTATTTTTAGTGATGCTTTTGCGTCCATGTGCTTTTTCTTGGTGATTTTTCTGTAGTTGGGATTTTCTTGGTGTCGCCTGGTAGCAAATTCAGTGATCCTTGGTTTAGTTTTAGTGGCTTTATCCCTAAATAAATTGAATTGTACTTTGTTATATGATATAAAGAAAGACTTTTTAAAAAATACAGGAGTCGATAGCAGCAGTTGATGGCGAGATGGCACTCAGAAACGGCGTTGACGTAATTTAGGACGTGGAATCATAAGCGAAACAGCACACTGTTTGAATAAAGAGCGAGTCGGTATTTATATTTGTTTTTCTTTTGTCATGATTATTTAATACCTTAAGTTGCTCCTGCTAAGGCATTTTTTATATTAGCATTTCTCTTAGGGAGCATTTCTGCTAGGTGGTTTGTATTGTCTGGTTTATCAGGAAGGTAGGGTAGAAAGCTGTTCTGGAGGTAAACACGTTTTTGAGTAATTTGAGTTTTAACGTGTGAAACTGAGCAAAAAAAGCAGTGATAAGTTTGGGTTACCATACCAAATCAGTTTTCCCACTGGAAAAAGGTTGTAAATTTTAGAAAATAGTTAACCTTGCAGCATTTGTATTTACAGTGTACAGTTCCAGAATTGCGTCGAAATGGATTACATAACTGTTCTTTTTGTTTTATCCCTGGTGTTTACATCTGTCCCAGGCTGACAACCTGCTCTTGGCTGGCCCACTTTGGTATGGGCTTTAGTTTCACTACCCCAAACACAATACTGTCATCTGCTTTATAATAATGCTCAAGACACCTGATAAAAATCTCATTTTGCAGCCAGACAAGCCTTGAATCCTTCTGGCACTAACTGCAAAGGAAGATTTTTTTCTCTAGATATTGATTAGCAGCTAGAGCTCCAATTAGAAGCCTGAACTATGTAACCTTGATAAGTAAACAGCAGCTGATGGTTAACAAGTGGATCGTCATGTTCAGTAGCTCACGTACTGTGTGAGAAATAACATTCTGATTGCTGATTTCTTTTTCTTATACAGAATTGGCAGAGGGGGTCGATTTGGGAGGAAAGGTGTGGCTATAAACTTTGTTACTGAAGAAGACAAGAGGATTCTTCGTGACATTGAGACTTTCTACAATACTACAGTGGAGGAAATGCCCATGAATGTGGCTGACCTTATTTAATTCCTGGGATGAGATAGTTTTGAATGCAGTGCTCGCTGTTGCTGAATAGGCGATCACAACGTGCATTGTGCTTCTTTGGGAATATTTGAATCTTGTCTCAATGCTCATAACGGATCAGAAAATACAGATTTTGATAGCAAAGCGACATTAGTCGTGAGCTCTTGTGAGGAAAGGCATTGGCTTTATCCTCTTTAGAGTTAGACTGTTGGGGTGGGTATAAAAGATGGGGTCTGTAAAATCTTTCTTTCTTAGAAATTTATTTCCTAGTTATGTAGAAATGGTTGTATTAGATGTTCTCTATCATTTAATAATATACTTGTGGACTAAAAGATATAAGTGCTGTATAAAATCAGCCAATTATGTTAAACTAGCATATCTGCCTTTATTGTGTTTGTCATTAGCCTGAATATAGAAAGGCCTTTAAAATTGATTTTTTTTTTTTTAGAAAGCATTTGAATGCATTTTGTTTGGTATTGTATTTATTCAATAAAGTATTTAATTAGTGCTAAGTGTGAACTGGACCCTGTTGCTAAGCCCCAGCGAGCAATCATATCCTAGGTAGGGTTAAATCCCCAGTAAAATTGCCATATTGCACATGTCTTAATTAAGTTTGAATGTTAAATAAATTGTATATTCACTTTAAAGGTATGTACTTTGGTCATTTTATTTTTCTCATAAGTCCATAAACAAAAAAAGTAGGTATTCTAACAATTCTGAGTTAACTGCTGCATCACAGTTGCACAAAGACTGATTAATTGTAGATGTTCATCAGCACCATCTGCTAAGCACTTATCAGCTTCCTATGACGAAATTAAAAAAGAGGGTTAGTATGTCTTGGTGTAAGAAAATGGGAAATTTCTTAGTGTGAAGTATGTACTTACAGCAAGTTTTTCTGTAATGATAGACTTCTGTTTATCAGAAAGGGTATCATTTTCTACAACCACATCATGAAGTTGATTTACAAGCTGAGTTGCGGCATGACCCTCAATTATTAAGTCCTATAATAGAAAAAAAGCTTAGTAGGCTCATTTAACAATTCCTCACCCCCAAGAAGTTAGTTAACTGATTTTACCTTCACCACAGTTTCTAGTTTGTCAAAGGAGCCACTCTGACATGCAGCAAATACTCCATCAATTGTCTCAGATGGTATTACCTGAAAAGGTATTTTGTTTCTGGGTGAAAAGATACTGACTCAGTTACACTTGGGTAGTGCATGTGCCCTATCACACAGGA